GGGCTGTGCCGGCTCTGAGCCCTGGCCCTCCTCTCCAGAGATGCTCCGGGGGAAACGGGTGATCGTGACCGGAGCCAGCAGCGGCATCGGGGAGCAGATGGCATATCACCTGGCACGCATGGAGGCCCACCTACTGCTCACGGCACGGACGGAGGCCAAGCTGCAGAAAGTAAGTGGCAAGCAGAGTGTGGCAGGCTGGCAAAACATATTTGCAATCCAGACCCCCGCAGGCGGGCAAGAATGCAGATACTGACCCCGGCCCAGACACAGAGGGATGCCAGATACCCTACAGATTCACCCCAGCGTTTCCCCAGCATGAGCCTGTTCTAACACCCCCTCCAACGCATTGCGTTTTCAACGCTGACAGCACGGCATTTCTTTCTCCACAGTCTTCAGCCGTGAATTCTGATCACCACCACCAAGGACAACACTAGCCTGCCCAAGTTCTGATCTGATCAACCCTTGCCCTTTCTCAGAGTCTGAACTGTTTTTGCACACCATATACAATGGAATCTAAATTAAGCAATCCTATCCCTATTTATAAATACTAAATATTCGGCTCAGATGTGCCATTGTTTAACTCTGCAGCCAGAAACATTTCTGAGCAATGTGTCTCCTCCCATGAGGGGAGAAGGGTTTCCAGCGGGACAGGGAGGTGCGCTGCCCCGAGACAGCAATGGCCTTCGTGGGATGAGGAGGAGGGGTCCATGGAGGGGGTCCAGTGCCAACCCCATTCTCACTGTTGCTGCAGGTTGTGGAGCGGTGCCTTGAGCTGGGTGCTGCGTCCGCCCACTACGTGAGCGGCTCCATGGAGGACACCACGTTGCCCGAGGTGGTGGTGAAGGAGGCTGAAAACATCTGGGGTAGGTGGTGGGGAGCTGCCCCTCCCCACTCCCAACACACCTCATGCTGCTTTTGTGGGGCCATCCCAGCCACCCAGAAGCTGCTTTGTTTTGAGATGCCAGTTGCTAATAGCAAACATGCTCTGCTTCCAGGAGGCCTTGATATGCTCATCCTAAACCACATCGGTCACAGCTACTTCAGCTTCTTCAACGGCGATGTTGGGCACGTACGAAAGCTCCTAGAGACCAACTTCGTCAGCTACGTGGCAATGACCACGCACGCCCTGCCGATGCTCAAGGAGAGTGAGGGCAACATCGTTGTCGTTTCATCCATGGCAGGTGAGCACGGAAGGGGCCAGGCTCTCCCTGCCCACGTCCCTTCCTCTGCCTGCAAGGGATCCCTTCTGCAGCTCTTCTTCAACAGACAGAGTAAGGACCATAAGGCAGAGAGCCGCTCCGCTGGGAGGCAGGATCAGCATAGGATTTATATCCTGGATGCACAGTTCCAAGTCCTCTGCGGGATTTATATTCCATGTCCTGTCCTGCTAGTCTCTTTGCGCCCACTAATGACTTTCACGCACTGCAGTCCATGGTACACCACCGCAGGTTATTTTGTCTGCGTGGCTGCATATTACACATGCATTTGCTATACATGGGTATGTATGCAGGAATACAAGAACAGTATCACCCACAACCGAAGGTACTTCATGCCACTGCGTGCCATATGTTACATTTTAAACATTCCTGCATTTGTTTATTTCTCTCAAGCATTCACGACAACTTACTCCATTACCTTAAGTCACAATATTGTAGCTACTTGAAGGGCAAGAGGAAGGGAGAGCCGTGCAGCCTGGTGTCTGTCCAGTACACGAACCCTGACCTTGTGTCTCTGCTCCAGGTAGAGCTGCCAGCCCATTTCTTGCTCCCTATTCGGCAACTAAATTCGCCTTAGATGGATTTTTCAGCTCCTTGCGACATGAATTCATCATAGACAAGGTCAACGTCTCCATCACACTCTGCATCCTGGGCTACATTGACACAGGTAAGCTCAGCATCTCCAGGGCCCCGTGATGCTGCATTTCCAGATAGAGCCGAGCCGAGCCCACCACCCACCCTCTGGCCCCAGGCTGCTCTGCCGGCGCTGCGGGACCCGTGCAATTGTGGAAAAGGGACCCCAACTCTTTAGAAAGTTTGACTCTGCTATCCCTGCAGTAAACCCAGGGGAAGTGGGGATTCTGTCCTATGGTCACTCAAGAGGTGGAAAGGAACAGGGAAGGACATCACAATAATTGTTATTTAACTATTCTAAGCCTTCTTAAGTAGGTCTGATCCCCAGAGTTTGTCGGTTTGTTAGAGGAAGCTACAGACACCCCGACTGAGCCAGTGGTGCCTGTGGCAGCCCCTCCATCCGACCCTGCTCCTTCCCTCCAGAGAACGCCATACGAGCGGTCTCTCACGCCATCCGGGACACGCCAGCGCCAAAGGAGGAGTGTGCGCTGGAGATCATCAAGAGCGGGGTGCTGCGCCAGCGGGAGCTGAACTACCCATCCCAGGGGCTGGGCAACCTGCTCCTCCTCCGGGCCATAGCCCCCGACTTCCTCGACTCCCTCATCAGGAGCAACTATAAGGTGGAAAACATCAGAAGAACATAGCCCTCAAGAGACCTTGGGCCAGGCACAAGGGATCTGGCTACTTGGGTGCCCTTTTCCGTGCCAGCGGGGCAGCCCCATGCTGATGCACCCTGGCAGCCCAAGGCAGGGTGCACCAGAAGCCTGTAACACACAGCATGAAAATGTCCGTTTTAGTAATGAACTCTTGCAAGTGGCTTTTCCCAACCTAGAGGCACTTCCGAGAAGCTCCTGGCAGCCGGATCTGCTGCCAGCATCCCGCTCACCACCAGGTTTCCGGCTCAACCTCCAGAAACCGTTCCCCACCAAAAGCCAGGCCGGCAGCGGTGCCGAGCACTGCGGGGAGCGAGCCGAGCCACGGCCCAGAATGAGGGTTTGGGCCAAGCAGCACAAGCCACCTAAAGCCACGAGAGGGTCTTTGAACTGGGAAATTTGTTGTCATTTATCCCTTCTAGGCTGGTCTTTGTAAAAATAAATCCTACGTTACTTTACAAGACCTCTGCTTTCACTTGTGTTCCTTTTCCACGTGCACAGAGCCCTTCCCAGCACCCAGCTGGTTAAACCGACCTCCCTGCATGATTTGCATTAACGCAGCTTTCACTTCTCTAAAGACCTTAATGAATTTCTGCCATTCGTGACCTCTCCTCAGCTGCTGATACACACTTTTTTTCCTTTCCAATCTGCAAGAAGCCTTAAAATAATAGCATTACTGTACTTCCCTAAGTCTCTACCCCAAAGCACTCAACCTCCAAGTGTCGGAGACCGATAAAGGGAGATGGCCCAAAAGATAATTGCTAGCTCTGCTTAGAGAGAAGCTGGAGACTTCGGAGTCCCCAGACAACCCAAATCCCCCCGCAAGCCAGGCCCCCGCGCCCCACAGCCGCGCTGCGAGCAGGGACAGGAACCGGGGCTCGGCTGCAACATTTCCTGTTCTAGGGTGAGAAAAAGAGCGAGAGCAGCAAAATGAGGTGGTTGGCACGAAGATGGCAGTTGGAGCGTGTCCGCGCCCGATAACCCCCCCCGGCTCACCCCACCCCTCCGCAGCAGTCGAGGGGCAGGACGGGACCCCTCGGACCAGGTACGTGCCCGCAGCGCCGAGGCCGCGAGGGTCGGAGGGGAGCGGAGGCTGCTGCGCTAAAGGCGGTGGCGTGCACCTTTTTTCCTCTTTTTTCATCCCGCTTTCAGCCTACGCAATTGACACCAGTAGGCTGTAACATGAACCAGCAAGACACACTTTTTTGTCGTTTGTTTGTTTCCCTTGAAGCAAGAAGCGTAACAGCTTGGAAAGCAAAGATAAAGGACACATTTGTTAATTAGAGAGGGTAATCTGGGGTAGCAGAAGGAGGAAAGAGAGTATTAGCTTGTCAAGAAGGCCTCAACAGTTTGCTCAGCTTGGGTGAGTAATGGATTGCCTATTTCTTTAAGCTTTACCTTGCTTTAAAGTGCATTTTTGGTTGACCGAGGCTATTACAAGAGCTGCTCTCGGGATGCGCCGTGACAGGCCAGGCAGCCCAGAGGCAGCGCAGGTGGGAGAGGGGCTGAGCTATTCCCGACGGGAAGAGCTGGATGAGCAGGGACCGAGCAGGACATCTGAGGTCTGGATTGAACATGCAATTGGGCCGTCTCTAAAATTAAGAAAAATGAGATGAAAAGTGCTTTTAAAGTGTCCTGAAGAGTTTGGAGCAGTTTGGCCGTAGATACACGCTTTGTCCCAAGCGATGGGTTCATACCCAGCTCCAGGGGAGCACGCTGCAGGGTGTTGGCGTACGCCCAACGTGCACTTCTCTGTGCGAAGCCCTTGGCAAGGGGGCACCAGGAGGAAAGGCCCTGGGTGAGCACAGTGGGACTGTTATGGTACGGAGGTGAAAGCCGCGTGGGAATAACCTGCTCGGCCTTCTATACCCCCGACTCCTCCGGCTGTAAGTCTATCACAAGAAGAAACACCCAAATAGTGAAATGCTGCTGGGATCCTTCAGTAAATTTAAGCTAAAGTTAGAGATGCTTCAGAAACGATTCAAATAAGAGACTACTCAAATAAAAACGAGGGAGAGCACATAAGCGAGTGCCATAGCGCAGGGGTCTCGAAGCCCACGCCCAGGCGGGCTCAGCGTCCTGGCTGGGGGTCTGCAGGCACCTTCCCTGCCCACAGCCAGAGCTGACCGCCCTGAAAGCGCCGCTCTCCTTCCAAAGGAAGCCCCTACAGTGAGAAGGGGGCACTAGTAACGACCTTTGAGTACACCACAGCTAGCACAAGGACAGTAAAAAGAACTGTGGAGCGGATTTTAATGCAGGCTAAAAAGCACGGAAGTATTAGATATGTAAATGGGGTTTAATGGGAAAAAAAAATGGGAACAACCAGACTCAACAACTTCCTAATTGCTTGAGATGGAATGAGACCAATGAAGTTTTGGTGGTTTTGTTTGACACTGAAGAACAGATAACCTGAATTTTCAGATATTAAAACTCTCCCCCCCCCTTCCTACATTAACATGATTTACCAAATACGAGAAAAGCCCCACACCAGACACGGCCACAGCAGCTCCCAGGCTGGGCCCCCCGGGGCTGGGCACCCTCCGAGCAACGTTCACGGGATGTGCCCGGGGACGAGGAGCCTGTTCACTGCCGACGGCGTGAGGGGACAGGGGAGGGGGACACAGCCTTCACTCGAGGGGAGGAAGGAGGAGGAGCAGTTGCGGGCAGTTATTGCTCAGCTTTGACTAATGCAGAGGCCCAAATACACTCGATACGACCAAAGTCCAGTAAAAAAACCAACGCACCAGCAGCTCGCAACTGTGCGGAAAAGCCAGCAGGAGGGAGGAGGTTTCGCATCTACGCCCCGCGTGTGCACGCAGACGGCGCGATAGCGCTGAAATGGAGGAGCTCCTCCTTCGGCCAGGCCACCGCCTTGTTTGGGCCACAAAGTCCCCAGAAACGGAGGCAGAATTCTTGCCTGAGGCAAACTGGTACCATTGAGAGCCTGTGCCCCCAGTTAGTGAGCACAGCTTAACAGTGAATTGATCCCGAAGCGTAATGATCGGTCACTACGCTTGTATTTGCAATGAAGGAACCAAGTCACAGCTTGGCTAACACAGACCCAGGGCTGGAGCCAGCGAGGCTGCGGGAGGAGAAGTGGGGGCAAACCAGCAGTTACACGGCATCGGAACCGAGAGCTGGGAGGGATGGAGGGAGCAACCAGGAGGTGGGAGAAGGCAGCACTCGCTAGCTGGGGTCTTCAGAGAGTGGGCGAGCTCAGACCTGCAGGGACTTTGCCAGATACTCCATTGGAAAAAAAAAAACACAAAACAAAACACCAACCCTCACACACCAAACCATAAAACCAACAAACCAAGCCCTACAGCACTGCAGGGTTTGCAGTGCTTCAGATCTCTCTGCGCACACAGAAAAGGCAGCCATCGCTAAGACATATAATGCAACTGCTTGAAGGGTAAAGCCACACCACAGCACCACTACGTCTGGATCTATCAAAAATAAAACTTGGCAAAAGAAATGCTCACTTAAAAGAAGTTTACTGCAGAAATAGCAGCTATTGCTCTTCCTGTGTTTGCATTGATTTCTTTAGGTTGGCTAAAGAGCTGTAACAGCACGCACAAAAGAATCAGTTTAAACTAACAGAGGGATTTTATTTTGTCAGCAAAGGAATTCTCCCAGAGGAAGCAGTGGAAGCATCACTACTTGGTAGTGAGGCCAGCCTCACGAGGTTGCATTAATTGTTTGAAACTCTGTTCCCAGCAGCCCCCGGGTCAGCACCCACCCGACCGAGGAGCAAGAACACCGCGGTTTTACATAGCCAACACATACGAGGTCATGGACAACAGATTTCTCCAGAAACACTGCTTGCATCCATTGCCCGAGGACTCCAGAATCAGTGTCTTATACCTCACGTTCACTTAATCTTAGAAATAGTTTTCACTCACATCGTGTCTTTTCCCTTGGTTTCACAAGGACAGAAGACCCTAGAGCGGACGGCGTGATCGCAGACCGGCAGAGCTGCCCCCGAGATGATCAGCCAGCCCGAGAAGGCACGGCCACGGCACAGGCGTGCGAGCGAGAGCTACGATGAGAAGTGCGAGCGGCGGCACGAGACGCGGGAGAAACTGCGGCGACGAAACAACGCGACGACCTGCCGCCACCTCGGGAGGGGAGCGGAGGAGCCGTCGCAGAGCCCCCGGCAAAGGGAGTTCCTGAGGAGGAGAAACCTGGGCAGCGATGCTGGAAGGACATTGCCGGGACACGAGCCCGAAGCACACGACCTCCCGGACCACTCCTCGCCGGTGGAGCCAAGACCACCCGTCCCACTCCAGGTAACGCCTGCCCCCGGAGCGCAGCTCAATGCCCTGCCTGCTCCAGCCAGCACCCACTACAGCATCCACAGCCTGTCCACTGATCGCAACAGCATCGGATCCAAATCAAAGTACAGCCAAAAAGTGAGAATGCACAGACAAAAATGTGCATTTCCTTACGAACTGCAGAGTCGGGCAGAGGTAGACACCATCGCCTCCCTCCCGTCATGCTCCCCTCCTGTTTTCCAAACCCTGAACCAGACCGAGATGTTCTGCCATCCCTCCAAGTACAACCCCACATCCTAGCTGCCAGATTAGTGTTGCACTTACACAAATTATTTTCACCCTGAAACCTGGCTTCCCTCCATCACCTTTGCTGTTAGCAGGAAGGGTGCAGGAATTAGGAGAACCCCTAGTACTCCTTAGCAACCCATGCTGCACAGCTAACAGTAACCCAGAGGGCTCACTGCCTTCAATAACATCTATAGAAAGATGCAAAACACCCCAGTCTGAGAGCCAAAGAGATTTCCTTCTAAACTTACACCCCGCGCAAAATGAACAATTCCCCTGGTACGTTATGAGTTCATCCTTGGGGCTTCACAAACCTACGTGAGCAGAGACAGGCGAGCGCGGGATGACTTACACAGGCACACCCTCAAGCTCCCTTTGCAGCACCAGAGCACACAGAGCAATTACCGACCTCCTGCTGCCGTTCGGTTCACC